TTTACATAAAAATGAAATACTATAAAAAGGAGAGTGAGTAACAAAGAAATTGATTTGACAATTAATAATCATAAATTCCTTGTCATTTTAGCTTTGATAATTTATTTTAAAAAGTATAGTTTCAATTTAGTGTTGAAATTAATAGGGATAATTATAACCATCTTATCTCTAAAAGAAATGCAGTTATTCCACTTTGAGTTTAGTTAGAAATCAACCTAAGGATACGTGAATTATAAGAGCCTTAAAAAGTTCGTAGTTGAAACAAAAAGGATAATTTGTTGCGACCTTTTAGTGTACTTTTTAAAAAGTTATTACTTGAATTCTTTCATTTTTTTTCAAATGCAGATATGATCAGAAACAACACAATGAAAATAATTTAAGAAAAAAGTGATGATCATTTAAATTCCAATAAACTAAATTACTATGCTTAGCCTCTTTTTTTTTGCTAGTACAGTAAGAGTAATAATTAACTAATATAATTTACATTAATCACAATAATAGTTATTAAACTCTTGCAAACATATTATTGCAGCGCAACAAAAAAAAAAATGCTTACTAAATAATCAAACAATGCTATTCATTTGATTCAAAAAGAAAAAAAGAATAACCAAAATAAAAATTATACTACTTCACACTATTTTTTGAGAAAGTTTTTAATAGTTTCTAACTCTACGCTTCATCAATCTAATGTGTACCACTGGAAACTGAAAAATATTCAACAACAAAAAAATTCAAATATCCATATCATTCTTATAAATCAACAAATATAAACAAACTTTTATAATCAGAAAATACAAAACCTTCTTTCGAAGAGCTCTTCATGCATTTCAAACAAATTCAAAGAAGAAATATATAAGGGAAACGGGAGCGTGTTATTCATAACCACCCAAGAAAACTGTCCTATTTTTTCCGTTTAAACTGTCCCATTTTTTTATTTCTAACTTATATGATATTATTTTTCAAATATAAATATTTTATTTTCAACAACTGTTAAAGATTTCCTTAATTGGTGGAACCACTCCATTTTCTTTTTTCGTGTTTGAATTTTTGAAATAGAATATTTAAAATTAATTTTAAGTACAAATCATTAATTTCTAACGTATCTGATATTTTTTTTGCTGGATATAAATATTTGTTTTTCAATTTTTTTTTTCAATAACTGTTAAAGATTCCCTTAATTGGTGGAACCACTCCATTTTCTTTTTTCGTGTTTGAATTTTTTTTTTAATTTTGAAATAGAATATTTAAATTAATTTTAATTCATTAAAAAAACTTTTTTTGTGGTGCTGACACGTGACACTTTTTCTTCTCCTATTATATATAGATAGATAACAATGAATTTATTTTATTTACTATAAGAATGGTACGACAAAAAAATTGAATTCAATTATACCTTGGTACGCTATATTATTTATCGTAGCTTTGAGTTATTTCAAATTTCAGTCATGGGACAATATAATTGTTATTAAAAGGAAATAATAAAAAATAAATATATAGTTGAAATTAATTCTTGTAATTAAACTTTATATAAAACATAAAATTGACATTATATA